CTAGGTAGCCTGGATAGCCCGTGGCCGAGCTAGTATGTGCACTGATTCTTGCAGGCTAGGGTAAAACTCCACAGCCAGTTTGGCTCTCGGTGGAAACACCTCCTTTGTGTTCCAAAACCTTAGCAAATGTGTAGCAGGCCCTGTCTGATCTTTGTGGTTGGGGTTTGCTGTGGTGCTCACTGAACCTCAGGTCCCAGTTGTGAGGACTCAGCTCAGACACTTGCAAATGGAAGCACAATCCTTCAGCCCCTAGGCTCAAGACACCAGTGCAGTTGGAGTCAGCTTGCGTACCTGAGCCACCTTCCCCGTGCGCTGATGGTGTCTCCCAGTGTCCTATACCAGCAGCTACCCCTGGAATCCCCCATCTGTTGCCAGCTCATACCTAAACACCCGCCATAGTCATTTCACGCCATGGGTCAGCTGGGCGTAGCCTCCCTGGGTATTTCCGGGTATTCCTGCTTCTTTCCTCCCCTGTGCTTACAGTTTTCAGGGTTACTTTTCCAAAATGTGAATTAAATCCATCTGTGAAACTTGCCACAGAGAGGCAGCATATCTGCCCAACCCCATTGTGAGTTGATTCAGGCTACCTCTGACTCTGCCCCTCCAGCCTCTGCCCATTTGTCCCCTCTGCAGGAAGTCCTGCCCTGTGCCCCACGCCATCGCTAAGCCACCGTCTCTGTGGGGGCGGGGCCAGGGGCGTCTTCGTGCACTGCCAAGTCCCTGTAGCTGGTAGAAACCAGTGCTCATGTGAGCTGGCCGCTGACGGAGGGCCGGCACACCGGGCCACAGGCAGCAGGTTGGAAGGCGGACATGGGAGCTAACGTCTTGGGCTAGCTGCTGGAAAAGCAGCAGCTGAGAACGCTCCTCACTTGGAGCAGTCATCTACAGCTTCACCTTCAGGCAGTGGTGGCCCCATTCACACAGTCTGTGGCCATGAGGCAGAGTTCCTCAAACAAACATGTCCGGATAATCTACCTGCGTAACCAGGCCTAGAAACAGACTGCATCTGCACTTACATCCAGCTAGAGACAAAAGGTGTTATCAAGTAGCTCAAAATATAGGAAATGTAATATTCTCATGTAATGTATCCCCTCTGTACACTTTTTACAATAAAAAAAAAAGCTCAAAATGTCCAAAGTGCTTTTTAGATTTAATTCACGTTATGAGTGTAGAAAAATGCTGCCCATGTCTGTCTGTAAGCTGGCTTAGATTGCCTGGGTATTTTGATCAGCAGGGTTGCTCTCCCAGAGTTTACACTGTATAATTCTGTGGTCCATGGGGCTGCGGGTCGGTGCCCCTGCCCGGGCACCCATCCTCATACCATTATGCTGGGCAGCAGTGGCCAGTAGGCAGTCCCCCTGGATGGGTTTCTGGCTTCTCCCAGCTCATGTTGTCTACTCCTGGAACCCACACTGGGGGCGGGGGGCTGTCCTCTCTCTCTGGACACTTGGACTGTCTCTCAAGCTCTCTCAGATGGCCATACACACTCACGCACAGCAGCACTGGTTGTCACTTCTGAAGAGGTGAACTCAGTGCAAATTTAAAATGTTTCATAGTCTTTAAGGATGAATGAAACCAAACAAATAAGGCCGAGTTAATTTAAACAGGAAGCACAGCTGTGACTCAAGGTAGAGTGAGCACTGACCTAGAGAGAGCTCAGGGATAGGGCCTGCGCCCTGAGTTCAAGCCTCATGTGCACATGGAGACACGCGCGCACACACACACTATTCAGATATGGGGATATCTCAGAACATGCCTGCCACTGTGCTTTGCGAATGAGAATGTAGTAGAATAAGAGGTCATAAATAATAGGCAGCACTGGGCACTACCAGACTGGAAGAAAGGGATGTCACTCCCTAAACCCTGTGGCTCCTGGAAGTCTGTCTCAGCTATTCAGCAAGCTACAAGCTTCAATCAACCACTAACAGATTTCTGTTTGTTCTCTGTCTACCTGTCTGGGTTTTCTGTGGCTACAGCTGAACACACTACAGCTTGGATGATGTATAAAGAAGTTATTTGGCACATGGTTCTGGAGGCTAGAAACCTGAGTGCGTCGCACCAGCATCTGGAAGGCTATAACCTGGAAAGTATATCACATGTAGAGTATGCTATTAGCAAGGTTTGTTTTTTTACTTCTTTCTTTTTCATCTGAATTTGTTTTTCCTTCTGAGATAGGATCTCATGTTGCCCAGGTAGGACTTGAGTGCCTAGGCTCAAATGACGCTTCTATCTCAGCCTCCCCAGTACCTGGTCCTACAAACACGTGGCAGCCAGCCAGTTCCTGCTGCGTATAAGCTTCTGATGACATCCTCGGACGACCTCGTGGAGCCCAATTACTCCAGAGGACCCACCTCCAAATAGCACCAACAGATATATGGCTTTGGGGACACACCCAAACCACAGCACAACTCACTACACTGGTTGAGGGACAGGCTTTCATTTTTCCTTAAAAAAAAAAAAAAATTGCCAGCACTGGTCAAAACCCTGGATGTGCTATAAACTCCATAGTAGTGTCTAGGAATTTAGGTTTCTTGGTATGAGGACCCCGGTTTTATCTGTACTGGTGAGTCCGAGAGTTGCAAGAGATTTGGAGGAGGCTGAGAGGGATCTTTGCAGATCTGAACAAATGAAGGGTTTCATGAGAACCCACCCTCCAAGTGCCGACTTCAGCACAACAAATGGCAGTAGATACTGTTGGTGGAAAGTGTCGTGGGGAACTCAGTTGGTGGAGCCTCGCGATCGTGTTTCTGGGCCAAGCTGGCATGGGGCTCCCATCTGGGAGTCCTTCTGGGATATCACCCTGACGCAGGGTGCTGGAGGATGCATTAGTCAGGGCTTCCAGCACTTGAGCTGTGGGAAGGTGGACGAGACATCATCAAGGAGGGGGTTCTGTCTCTGTTCTGAACACTCCTTGGTCCTCCAGTGTGTCTCATCTGTGACCGGGATGGGTAAGCAGCCTGCCAGCCTGGTGAGCTCGGGCAGATCAGAGACTGAACTCCTCCTTCTATGGGACTGTGGACCTGTTGACCAGCTCACCCAGGTTGACTTGGAGCTTGCCTAGTTTTAGTACAGAAGATCTTAAATCCACAGAGCTCCTGGGTCTTGGGCAGTGAGCCCAGCAGCCAGCAAAGGACCTGGGCACAGTCTACACCAGGGCACATGGCACTGGAGCGGGGCAGGTAAAACTGAGACCCAGCCACCCAAGGGGAGAATGAGGGCATGGCTGGTATTTGGACCTAAGAGGGTTCCTGGGCCAAAGGAAACATGATGTATACGCTGAGCTATTTGCTGTTTTTCTAGAGAAGTGGGATTTTTCCTGCCCAGCAGTGTTCCACCTCTCCATGGACTCTAGCCAGGTCTTCCTGTCCCATTTGAGCTGTACTGCCTAGAATTGATGCAGACGCCATCACCGAGGACTCGGGCCTGCAGGGTTCCACCTGCTTCAGATACTATTGCCAATATATAGTGTATATGTGCATATACAAAGAAAACACGTTTTCATCTCAGGCTTGGCCCAGGGTACCACATGCTAGAAGTTTCCATCTGAGTGTTCTTGGTTCTCGTCCACCCACCAACAGTACACGGGTGTTCTTGCTCAGAGCCACTTGCTACCACAGCAAGATAGGGAGACATGCTGCTGGGGATCCCTCATCTGGGCCACACAACATGGGCGGCCCTCGGGTGTGTGCCTTCAGGGTGAATTTTTGGACCAATTTCCCTGCCAAGGAGGTGATGGGCTGGACCTGCATGCTTGAGTGCAGCACAGACTCACCTGTCTTCCACCTCCGGATTGTGTGCTGGAGACAGTGGGTGACTGGGGCAGGATGCACGGTCAGGTCTCTGCATCGGAAGGCCAGGCAGGGTTCTCTTGTTCCATACTGTGGTTACAGAGAGTCCCTGCGTCCCACCTCACCAGCCTCTCTGGTTGCACGGGGCTTGGGCCTAGGTGTGTGAGGCCTGCTAGAAACTAGCTCCACACCTTCTATCTAGCCAGGTCTTGTTGCTGGAGGTTGTCATTGAGTGAGGTCGGCTGAAGACTGGAGCCTCTTGCTTGGCCCAGCTAAGAAAAGTCTAACGTAGTTCTTTGGGGCATGAAGCAGGCTTAGGTCAGATTTAAAATGACAAGACACAGTAAACCCACAATGGAGGCATTTGTCCACAGGGTGGATCTGTATCTTGGAACCACAGAGGTTGGGAAAATCTCAGCTATTTTTGCCTTCTGAGGTTTAGTACTTCCTGCTTGGACCATTTTGGAAGTACAGGAAACACATGAGGTTTAGCTGAAGGAAAGAGCTTCCCGAAACCTGAGCCTGCCACGGGTATGAAAGAGGCTGAAGTCCCTTCCACAGTAGCCGTGTTAAGGAGACCAGCAGGGCCCTCTTCACACAGAAGAGGCATCGTTCCCAGCTCGCCCTTTTCAGGAGGAAAGCTCTGCTAAAGTTTGCCTAAAACCAGATCTTAAAACGGGAACTGACCAGAGTTGCTTATGATGTGTGGAAATTATGTGTGCACAAGTAGAGAAAATAGGGAACAAATGCTGAGTAAAACCCACACAGTTGGCAATGTGTGGGGAAAACAGCCCCATGACAAAGGCCATGACTGTCACCCCAGGGAGGGCTCTGGTGGCCCTCCCCTCTCACCAGTGCTGTCATGCAGTCCTGCCCAGGGCTCTCTGAGCTGGACATTTCTGGGAAAGGATCAGACCCTGGCAACTACTCTTCTCTGGCACAAAGTTAACTAGGGTGCTAGAGTACTGGCGTACCATCGGCCTGGAACCAGGCCCATCACCAGTCCTTCCTCCCACCGCCTGGCCCTCAAGCACACCAGTACCTGCCTGCACAGGCTTCTACGCAGCATCACTGCTGCCATGCTGGTTTGCCCAGTGGCTCCTTCCCTGCCCTCCGAGTCAGGAAGGCCAGGGCTGGCCTTTCCCTCGGGTGGGCTGTGAGCACCGAACCTCCCAGGTCAGACTAGGGCACTTCCTCAGAGAGAATACTGCCATGGGGCCCAAGCACCGGGAAGAGACTCCGGGCCCCAGGGCCAGGTGAGACCAGCAGCACAGCTTCCTCATGGACATCACCCTGGGGGCTGAGCTGAGGTTAAAATCGCTGCTGATAAGGCCTTGCTGGGCCCCAGGGACCAGGGCACACCCTCTAGGGGACAGAGGGGCGGGGTGCAGCTCCAAAGCCTTCTGGTAGAAAAAGTGAAGAGTCCGCAGAGGCGGGGTGAGACAGACCGTCCATTGATCCGCACCGCTTGACCACCTTCTGAGGATAGTTTGGCCTTTAGCCTCCCAGTTCACTGGCTAAACTGATGATGTAGGGTGCATGGGGCCCCAGAATCTGGAAGGGGACGATGAGGTGTGCAGGCCTGGAAGGTGGCCAGGAAAATGGCCTGTGGAAATTTAGATGCTAGTCACTAGGGGATGGCAGCCGCCCTGCCCTCCCTCACTTGATTCAAGGAAGTGAGGACAGACAACATTCCCAAGTACCCACACGAGGACTTCCTGTAAATGTGGTACCTCTACACAGTGGGATTTTACACCTCCATTAGAAAGTACGTCATTTGCCGGGAAATGGATGGACCTCATGGTAAGTGGGGAAAGCCAAGCTCAGAGAGACAAACGGCGCATGTGGAAGCTATGGAGGGCATAATAAATTATACCGGACTTTAGGCACTGACACAGTGAGACCGAAGCAGGATACTCCGAGGAGAGGATCACAAAGACTCAATGCCTGTATGCCTCTGAGCATATAAAAAAATATTTGTCAAAATGAGCTCCAGGAAATGAAGACAGGGTTTTTTCCTTTGTTGCTGTATTTCCTTTCTTTTCTTTTTGTCATGTTTGTTCATTGGGACGGCACAGAAATGATGGGACAAAGGCTGAACAAAGGCAGCAGTGGTACTCACTAGACACTGGAAAATGAACTGTACAATTGAGGGTAGGGACAGGAGGGAAAAACTGGGAGAGAGAAGGAAGGGATGACATTGTACAAAAAGAAAGGTACTCACCACCTGACTAATGGAACTGTAACCCCCTCTGCACCTCACCTTTATAATAACAAAAAAGAACTAAATTTGTAAGGGCACAACCGGGAGGCTTTCTGTTGGCACTGTTCTCTCCTTCCTCCACTGTGCTGCCAGCCAGCACCTTGCTGGGCTCTGCACCCCTGGGTCAGACCTGGACCCTGGCTCGTGAAACCATGCCATCCATCCTCCAACTTTGCGATGTGCTTTTTGAAACTGAGTTTGGAGTCCAGATCCTGCCCCATGAACCAGTACCAGCATGAAGCCCACTGGTGCTCCACAGAGAGCACGCTGTAAGTCGAAGGTGAATGAGAACCGTGTGGACCAAACCCCATAGGAACCCTAAACAGGCCCGGTGAGTGCAGCACAGGGAGGCCCAAGAAGACACCAGCCGCAGGGCCAGCTGGGAAGTCATCAGGAAAAGCCTCCTTTCTCCCCACACCTCCAGGACGGTCCTCCCCTGTTATTGATAGGCATATTCCTGTTTCTAGTTAGGAAGTATACTCCAAAACATTTCAGATAAGCTGGGCGCTGGTGGCTCAGGCCTGTAATCATAGCTACTCAGGAGGCTCAGATCTGAGGATTGTGGTTCAAAGCCAGCCTGCGCAGAAAAGTCTGTGAGACTCTTATCTCCAATAAACCACCAGAAAACCAGAAGTGGCGCTGTGGCTCAAGTGGTAGAGTGCTCGCCTTGAGCTGAAGAGC